TTTGTATCATTTAGGGAAAGATGCTGGAAATTGATCAAATTGTTTTGGTATGTGAAGGTGGTGTTCTCTTCTATGGGGATCTCTGATTTGGTGTTAGAGCAAATCCTAGAAAGAAAGGGTTTTTTCTCTGGGAAGCTTAGATCCAACTCCATGCAAGATCAAGATTAGAGAGAATGATAAAGTCTGTTTATTGTTGTATATGAGAAATATGGTCAAAATTGTGTCTGTGTGAAGAGGTAGGGGGATCTTAGGCTTTTATAGGACTTACGAAAATAAAAATAATAATAGTATCATAAAATCAAGTTTGATGAGGGGTAATCACATGACACGTGGCCATTGTAATAACAACATCCAAAGGCCCAAATTTGTTGTTTCGGTGAGTGTTCATCTAACGCTCTAGAGTGCCCACCTAGAAATTTTTTTTACTCAATTCTTTTACTTTGGGCATTTTCTTTTCTTTTCTACTGACATTTTAAACAATAAAATAAAAAGGAAATGATGAGTTTGTTATACAATTTTGAATTTTGGTATTTTGAGTATGACTTTGGAGAAATATTTAAGAATGCATGAATGACATGTGGATACAACATTCATGAATATTTATTAGCTTTAATTTTTTATTTTATTTTTTTATTCATAAAAATCAAACTAAAAGTCATACATATCTTGGTCAACATACCAGATTGGACTCTATGAAATTATTTTCAAATGTTTACATATTCATTTTCATTTTTATTTTTCTTATTATAATATTTATAATATTTATTATTTTCTTTCTCTACATTTCATCCCTCTTTACTCTGAAAGGGTGTACATATTTAAAGGTGTTTGGAAACGTTTTCCTTTTTTGAGATAATTTTAAAAGAAATTGAAATGTGATATATTCATATAAATAAAAGAATGATGTAAAGATATTTTAATCATGAAAAATGAGTGAATTTTGCTTTTAGTCTTTATAAATAAAAGTATTTCCTCAAAAGACATTATTTTTAGTTCATGTTATTATATGCGATACTTGTTATACTCGTAACATTATGTTTTTTTCAAAAACTAATAATAATAAAGTTGTTTAATTTATATATATATATATATATATATATATATATATATATAT